CACCTAGACACGCTTCACCTAGACACGCTTCACCTAGACACGCTTCACCTAGACGCTTCACCTAGACACGCTTCACCTAGACACGCTTCACCTAGACACGCTTCACCTAGACGCTTCACCTAGACACGCTTCACCTAGACGCTTCACCTAGACACGCTTCACCTAGACACGCTTCGGTTACTCAGGAGACATTCAGGGACCGCTGGGTCCAGCCCGGCTCCTTCTCATAGCAGACGTCCAAACATCTGTCCATCCGGTCCAAACATCTGTCCATCCGGTCCAAACATCTGTCCATCTGGTCCAAACATCTGCCCGTCCGGTCCAAACATCTGTCCATCCCGTCCAAACATCTGTCCATCCGGTCCAAACATCTGTCCATCTGGTCCAAACATCGATCCATCCGGTCCAAACATCTGTCCGTCCGATCAAAACATCTGTCCATCCGGTCCAAACATCGATCCATCCGGTCCAAACATCTGCCCGTCCGGTCCAAACATCGATCCATCCGCTCCAAACATCTGCCCGTCCGGTCCAAACATCTGTCCATCCCGTCCAAACATCTGTCCATCCGGTCCAAACATCTGTCCATCTGGTCCAAACATCGATCCATCCGGTCCAAACATCTGTCCGTCCGATCAAAACATCTGTCCATCCGGTCCAAACATCGATCCATCCGGTCCAAACATCTGCCCGTCCCGTCCAAACATCGATCCATCCGCTCCAAACATCTGTCCATCCGATCAAAACATCTGTCCATCCGGTCCAAACATCTGTCCATCCGATCAAAACATCTGTCCATCCGGTCCAAACATCTGCCCGTCCGGTCCAAACATCTGTCCATCTGGTCCAAACATCGCTCCATCCCGTCCAAACATCTGTCCATCCGGTCCAAACATCTGTCCATCTGGTCCAAACATCTGTCCATCTGGTCCAAACATCGCTCCATCCCGTCCAAACATCTGCCCGTCCGGTCCAAACATCGATCCATCTGGCCCAAACATCTGTCCATCCGGTCCAAACATCTGTCCATCTGGTCCAAACATCGCTCCATCCCGTCCAAACATCTGTCCATCCGGTCCAAACATCTGTCCATCCGGTCCAAACATCTGTCCATCTGGTCCAAACATCTGCCCGTCCGGTCCAAACATCTGTCCATCCCGTCCAAACATCTGTCCATCCGGTCCAAACATCTGTCCATCTGGTCCAAACATCGATCCATCCGGTCCAAACATCTGTCCATCCGATCAAAACATCTGTCCATCCGGTCCAAACATCGATCCATCCGGTCCAAACATCTGCCCGTCCGGTCCAAACATCTGCCCGTCCGGTCCAAACATCGATCCATCCGGTCCAAACATCTGTCCATCCGATCAAAACATCTGTCCATCCGGTCCAAACATCTGTCCATCTGGTCCAAACATCGATCCATCCGGTCCAAACATCTGCCCGTCCGGTCCAAACATCTGTCCATCTGGTCCAAACATCGCTCCATCCCGTCCAAACATCTGCCCGTCCGGTCCAAACATCGATCCATCCGGTCCAAACATCTGTCCATCCGATCAAAACATCTGTCCATCCGGTCCAAACATCGATCCATCCGGTCCAAACATCTGTCCATCTGGTCCAAACATCGATCCATCCGGTCCAAACATCTGCCCGTCCGGTCCAAACATCTGTCCATCTGGTCCAAACATCGCTCCATCCCGTCCAAACATCTGTCCATCCGGTCCAAACATCTGCCCGTCCGGTCCAAACATTGATCCATCCGGTCCAAACATCTGTCCATCCGATCAAAACATCTGTCCATCCGGTCCAAACATCGATCCATCCGGTCCAAACATCTGTCCATCCGATCAAAACATCTGTCCATCTGGTCCAAACATCGATCCATCCGGTCCAAACATCTGCCCGTCCGGTCCAAACATCTGTCCATCTGGTCCAAACATCGCTCCATCCCGTCCAAACATCTGTCCATCCGGTCCAAACATCAGCCCGTCCGGTCCAAACATCTGTCCATCCGATCAAAACATCTGTCCATCTGGTCCAAACATCGATCCATCCGGTCCAAACATCTGCCCGTCCGGTCCAAACATCTGTCCATCTGGTCCAAACATCGCTCCATCCCGTCCAAACATCTGTCCATCCGGTCCAAACATCTGCCCGTCCGGTCCAAACATCTGTCCATCCGATCAAAACATCTGTCCATCCGGTCCAAACATCGATCCATCCGGTCCAAACATCTGTCCATCCGATCAAAACATCTGTCCATCCGGTCCAAACATCGATCCATCCGGTCCAAACATCTGTCCATCTGGTCCAAACATCGATCCATCCGGTCCAAACATCTGCCCGTCCGGTCCAAACATCTGTCCATCTGGTCCAAACATCGCTCCATCCCGTCCAAACATCTGTCCATCCGGTCCAAACATCTGCCCGTCCGGTCCAAACATCGATCCATCCGGTCCAAACATCTGTCCATCCGATCAAAACATCTGTCCATCCGGTCCAAACATCGATCCATCCGGTCCAAACATCTGTCCATCTGGTCCAAACATCGCTCCATCCCGTCCAAACATCTGTCCATCCGGTCCAAACATCTGTCCATCCGATCAAAACATCTGTCCATCCGGTCCAAACATCGATCCGTCCGGTCCAAACATCGATCCATCCGGTCCAAACATCGATCCGTCCGGTCCAAACATCGATCCATCCGGTCCAAACATCTGTCCATCCGACAGGTTGATGTCCACCAGGTTGACAACCAACAGGTTGACGTCCCCCAGGTTGATGATCTTACAGGTTGACGTCCCCCATGTTAACGTCTCCGAGGTTGTCGTCCACCAGGTTGACGTCCCCCAGGTTGATGATCTTCCAGGTTGACGTCCACCAGGTTGATGTCTTCCAGGTTGACATCCAACAGGTTGATTTCTCCCAGGTTGACGTCCACCAGGTTAATGTCTCCCAGGTTAACGTCTCCCAGGTTGACGTCCACCAGGTTAACGTCTCCCAGGTTGACGTCCACCAGGTTAATGTCTCCCAGGTTAACGTCCACCAGGTTAACGTCCACCAGGTTTACGTCCACCAGGTTGACGTCCCCCAGGTTGATGTCTCCCAATGTTAATGTCCACCAGGTTAACATCCACCAGGTTAACGTCCACCAGGTTTACGTCCACCAGGTTGATGTCTTCCAGGTTGACATCCAACAGGTTGATGTCTTCCATGTTACCGTCTCCCAGGTTAACGTCCACCAGGTTAACGTCCACCAGGTTGACGTCCCCCAGGTTGATGTCTCCCAATGTTAATGTCCACCAGGTTAACATCCTCCAGGTTGACGTCCACCAGGTTGACGTCCACCAGGTTAACGTCCACCAGGTTAACATCCTCCAGGTTGACGTCCACCAGGTTGACGTCCACCAGGTTGACGTCCACCAGGTTGACGTCCCCCAGGTTGATGTCTCCCAATGTTAATGTCCACCAGGTTAACATCCTCCAGGTTGACGTCCACCAGGTTGACGTCCCCCAGGTTGATGTCTCCCAATGTTAATGTCCACCAGGTTAACGTCCTCCAGGTTGACGTCCACCAGGTTAACGTCTCCCAGGTTGACGTCCACCAGGTTAATGTCTCCCAGGTGGACGTCCACCAGGTTAACGTCCACCAGGTTAACGTCTCCCAGGTTAACGTCCACCAGGTTAATGTCTCCCAGGTTGACGTCCACCAGGTTAACATCCACCAGGTTAACGTCCACCAGGTTGACGTCCACCAGGTTGATGTCTTCCAGGTTGACATCCACCAGGTTAACATCCACCAGGTTAACATCCACCAGGTTGACGTCCACCAGGTTAACGTCCACCAGGTTAACGTCTCCCAGGTTAACGTCCACCAGGTTAATGTCTCCCAGGTTGACGTCCACCAGGTTAACATCCACCAGGTTAACGTCCACCAGGTTGACGTCCACCAGGTTGATGTCTTCCAGGTTGACATCCACCAGGTTAACATCCACCAGGTTAACATCCACCAGGTTAACATCCACCAGGTTGACGTCCACCAGGTTGATGTCTTCCAGGTTGACATCCAACAGGTTGATGTCTTCCATGTTACCGTCTCCCAGGTTAACGTCCACCAGGTTAACGTCCACCAGGTTAACATCCTCCAGGTTGACGTCCACCAGGTTGACGTCCACCAGGTTGACGTCCACCAGGTTGACGTCCACCAGGTTGACGTCCACCAGGTTAACATCCTCCAGGTTGACGTCCACCAGGTTAACGTCTCCCAGGTTGACGTCCACCAGGTTAATGTCTCCCAGGTTAACGTCCACCAGGTTAACGTCCACCAGGTTGACGTCCACCAGGTTGATGTCTTCCAGGTTGACATCCAACAGGTTGATGTCTTCCATGTTACCGTCTCCCAGGTTAATGTCCACCAGGTTAACGTCCACCAGGTTAACATCCTCCAGGTTGACGTCCACCAGGTTGACGTCCACCAGGTTGACGTCCACCAGGTTAACATCCTCCAGGTTGACGTCCACCAGGTTGACGTCCACCAGGTTAACATCCTCCAGGTTGACGTCCACCAGGTTGACGTCCACCAGGTTGACGTCCACCAGGTTAACATCCTCCAGGTTGACGTCCACCAGGTTGACGTCCACCAGGTTAACATCCTCCAGGTTGACGTCCACCAGGTTGACGTCCACCAGGTTGACGTCCACCAGGTTGACGTCCACCAGGTTAACATCCTCCAGGTTGACGTCCACCAGGTTGACGTCCACCAGGTTGACGTCCACCAGGTTGACGTCCCCCAGGTTGATGTCTCCCAATGTTAATTTCCACCAGGTTAACATCCTCCAGGTTGACGTCCACCAGGTTGACGTCCCCCAGGTTGACGTCCCCCAGGTGGATGTCTCCCAATGTTAATGTCCACCAGGTTGACGTCCACCAGGTTGATGTCTTCCAGGTTGACGATCTTCCAGGTTGACGTCCTTTCTGTTGTCTTTCACCCACAGTGTGCGTTTCCAGGTTCCGTTGCTGCGACATCGACACCACGGCGGGTCACGGTCGGATTTGGTGGAAAACCAGGAAGACCTGCTACCAGATTGTTGAGCACAGCTGGTTCGAGTCCTTCATCATCTTCATGATCCTTCTCAGCTCGGGAGCTCTGGTCGGTACCACACGGCTCCATCGTATCTCCTAATATAAAGCAGCTTCTGTCGGACTCTGTGCCGATTTGTTCCAAACGCAACCTAGAGAAAACAAAGTTCCGATGAACTCTGGGTGGTTTTAACGCCACTCAGGGACGATATTTTCCTGATCAGTAAACCCTGAAGTCTGAATAGGGCTTTTTTTTCTCCACATCACACTAGTCAATGCAAGACATCATCAAACAAATCACCGTTATGTTTCCCTCTGATAATATTCAGCTATTTTTAACAAAATCCCTGTTTCTGCTTTTCCTTATAAAAGCAAAATGTTGAATAAATAAAAAATAATGAATAAATGTCAGGACATGATAATTAGAAAGCTTAATTCAAGTAAAAATCATAAAACATCTGTAAAAAACACAGAGGCCAAAAATACATGTTATAAAAAACAAGCAACTAAATGAAATAACTCAACAAAAGATTAAAAAAAAAACAGATTTCCTGCTTTTTTCCTCCATTTTCAGATTATAAAGCTGGAAGCTGCTGAACAGAGAAAATTTGCTCTGGGTTGTCAGATGATCTCAGATGAGCTGCATCCCTCCAAGCTTTTAAAAGTTAGCAGCAAAAACATGAAGCTGTCATTTTCTAATAAACAGGAAGTTTTCCGTACCGCTCAGATATGATGGCGCCTTCTGCTTCCATCCAGGAGGCGGGCGGCTGCGGTTTGAACAAACTGCAGACGCATTAGCAACACCTGATTAACTTGAAAGGAGTCTCAGTAATCCAGGCCAGATTTAATAAATGGATGGATTTCTGTCTGAAGACGGAGGAGGAAGGCGGGCCTTGGTTTTACTGAGCTAAAGTAGCTCATCTTTACAGCATTTATCATATTTAGTAGCATGAAATATAACAGATGGGTGAAAATATGAATCCTATAGAGCGAAGACCATGTGACCTGATAGCGTGACCATCCCTTACCTGGCCTGTGCCATGGCGCCACAAGGGGGTGGCCAAGGCCACCCTGTGCAATGCCCTGGCCACCCCTCTGGCCAGTGAAAATTGTATGTGTCCCTATAGCTACCCTTCTACAGTGGTGCCACCAGTGGCCACTGGCCACCCCACTGGTCACCCAACTGGCCACCCCACTGGTCACCCCACTGGTCACCCCAATGGCCTCCCCACTGACCACCCCACTGGTCACCCCAATGGCTACCCAACTGGCCACCCCTCTGGCCAGTGAAAATTGTCACTATATTTAACTATCCTTCTACAGTGGTGCCACCACTGGCCACCCCACTGGCCACCCCACTGGCCTCCCCACTGGCCTCCCCACTGGCCACCCCAATGGCCACCCCACTGGTCACCCCAATGGCCACCCCAATGGCCTCCCCACTGACCACCCCAGTGGTCACCCCACTGGCCAGTGAAAATTGTATGTGTCACTATATCTAACTACCCTTCTACAGTGGTGCCACCAGTGGCCACTGGTCACCCCACTGGTCACCCCACTGGCCACCCCACTGGCCTCCCCACTGGTCACCCCTCTGGCCAGTGAAAATTGTCACTATATTTAATTACCCTTCTACAGTGGTGCCACCAGTGGCCACTGGTCACCCCACTGGTCACCCCACTGGTCACCCCACTGGCCACCCCACTGGCCTCCCCACTGGTCACCCCAATGGCCACCCCACTGGTCACCCCACTGGCCACCCCAATGGCCACCCCACTGGCCACCCCACTGGCCTCCCCACTGGCCTCCCCACTGGCCACCCCAATGGCCACCCCACTGGCCACCCCACTGGCCTCCCCACTGGCCACCCAAATGGCCACCCCACTGGCCACCCCACTGGTCACCCCACTGGCCACCCCACTGGCCACCCCACTGGTCACCCCAATGGCCACCCCACTGGTCACCCCACTGGCCACCCCACTGGCCACCCCAATGGCCTCCCCACTGGCCACCCCAATGGCCACCCCACTGGTCACCCCAATGGCCACCCCAATGGCCACCCCACTGGCCACCCCAATGGCCACCCCAATGGCCACCCCACTGGCCACCCCACTGGCCACCCCAATGGCCACCCCACTGGCCACCCCACTGGTCACCCCAATGGCCACCCCAATGGCCACCCCACTGGCCACCCCACTGGCCACCCCAATGGCCACCCCACTGGTCACCCCAATGGCCAACCCACTGGCCACCCCAATGGCCACCCCACTGGCCACCCCAATGGCCACCCCACTGGTCACCCCAATGGCCACCCCAATGGCCACCCCAATGGCCAACCCACTGGCCACCCCACTGGTCACCCCAATGGCCACCCCAATGGCCACCCCAATGGCCACCCCAATGGCCACCCCACTGGCCACCCCACTGGTCACCCCACTGACCACCCCACTGGTCACCCCTCTGGCCAGTGAAAATTGTCACTATATTTAACTATCCTTCTACAGTGGTGCCACCAGTGGCCACTGGCCACCCCACTGGCCACCCCACTGGCCACCCCACTGGCCTCCCCACTGGCCTCCCCACTGGTCACCCCAATGGCCACCCCAATGGCCTCCCCACTGACCACCCCAGTGGTCACCCCACTGGCCAGTGAAAATTGTATGTGTCACTATATCTAACTACCCTTCTACAGTGGTGCCACCAGTGGCCACTGGTCACCCCACTGGTCACCCCACTGGCCACCCCACTGGCCTCCCCACTGGTCACCCCTCTGGCCAGTGAAAATTGTCACTATATTTAATTACCCTTCTACAGTGGTGCCACCAGTGGCCACTGGTCACCCCACTGGTCACCCCACTGGTCACCCCACTGGCCACCCCACTGGCCTCCCCACTGGTCACCCCAATGGCCACCCCACTGGTCACCCCACTGGCCACCCCAATGGCCACCCCACTGGCCACCCCACTGGCCTCCCCACTGGCCTCCCCACTGGCCACCCCAATGGCCACCCCACTGGCCACCCCACTGGCCTCCCCACTGGCCACCCCAATGGCCACCCCACTGGTCACCCCACTGGCCACCCCACTGGTCACCCCAATGGCCACCCCACTGGTCACCCCACTGGCCACCCCACTGGCCACCCCAATGGCCTCCCCACTGGCCACCCCAATGGCCACCCCACTGGTCACCCCAATGGCCACCCCAATGGCCACCCCACTGGCCACCCCAATGGCCACCCCAATGGCCACCCCACTGGCCACCCCAATGGCCACCCCAATGGCCACCCCACTGGCCACCCCAATGGCCACCCCACTGGCCACCCCACTGGTCACCCCAATGGCCACCCCAATGGCCACCCCACTGGCCTCCCCACTGGCCACCCCAATGGCCACCCCACTGGTCACCCCAATGGCCAACCCACTGGCCACCCCAATGGCCACCCCACTGGCCACCCCAATGGCCACCCCACTGGCCACCCCACTGGTCACCCCACTGGTCACCCCAATGGCCACCCCAATGGCCAACCCACTGGCCACCCCACTGGTCACCCCAATGGCCACCCCAATGGCCACCCCAATGGCCACCCCACTGGCCACCCCAATGGCCACCCCACTGGCCACCCCACTGGTCACCCCAATGGCCACCCCAATGGCCACCCCAATGGCCAACCCACTGGCCACCCCACTGGGCACCCCAATGGCCACCCCACTGGTCACCCCAATGGCCACCCCAATGGCCACCCCACTGGCCACCCCACTGGTCACCCCAATGGCCACCCCAATGGCCAACCCACTGGCCACCCCACTGGTCACCCCAATGGCCACCCCAATGGCCACCCCACTGGCCACCCCACTGGCCTCCCCACTGGTCACCCCAATGGTCACCCCACTGGCCACCCCACTGGCCTCCCCACTGGTCACCCCAATGGTCACCCCACTGGCCACCCCAATGGCCACCCCACTGGCCACCCCACTGGCCACCCCAATGGCCACCCCACTGGCCACCCCACTGGTCACCCCAATGGCCACCCCAATGGCCACCCCACTGGCCACCCCACTGGCCTCCCCACTGGCCACCCCAATGGCCACCCCACTGGTCACCCCAATGGCCACCCCACTGGCCACCCCAATGGCCACCCCACTGGTCACCCCAATGGTCACCCCACTGGCCACCCCAATGGCCACCCCACTGGCCACCCCACTGGCCACCCCAATGGCCACCCCACTGGCCACCCCAATGGCCACCCCACTGGTCACCCCAATGGCCACCCCAATGGCCACCCCACTGGCCACCCCAATGGCCACCCCAATGGCCACCCCAATGGCAATGGCCACACAGTTAATTGTAGTAGCATTAGTTTAGCATTTCATTCCATTCTGCACAGCCAGCGATGTAACATTAAAAATTCCACAACAAACCTGACCTGAGGAGTTGTTTACTGAAGTCTTTAAATCATGGCTTTTAGTTCCAGTTTGCCACCCCAAAATTTTTAGTGGCCCCATATGAAACATTTCTGAAGGCGACACTGGGCCTGTGTCCAATGAGAAGACTCCTGGTCTGTAGAATCAAACGGTTTTAGAAAGTTTGACTTTGAGTCTCTCGTCCCTTCAGGCCTTCGAGGACATCTACATCGAGCAGAGAAGGGTCGTCAAGGTGGTGCTGGAATACTCTGACAAAATCTTTACCTACATCTTCATCCTGGAGATGGTGCTCAAATGGCTCGCCTACGGTTTCAAGAAGTACTTCACCAACTACTGGTGCTGGTTGGACTTCCTCATTGTCGATGTAAGATATTCATCCCTCATTCCCAGCTCTGCTTAGTCTTTTACTGCAGCTGGAAAATGCATATAGTGAAAGAACCTGATGCTTTCTGATGAATCCAGCATGTTTAGATTTATGTGATGTGTCTGCATTATGAGTACTTGTGTGTTCCTTGTTCTCGTGAAACGTCATCAGCCTCAGCTCTAGCACTGTTGCAATAAAAATGCAAGACTGAGAACAGACAAAGTCCCCGGATGTTGTTCTAGCCCCTCCCTCTTTACCCAGCATGCATCAGAGCAGACTTGTCCGTTCTCCAGACAGACAGCTGTCCCAGCATGCACTGCAGCAGCAGCTTCCAGGTTAGCGCTCACAGAGCTCAGAGGATTAAGATAAAAGTTCTCTTTTCTGCTGCTGTTGTTCAATAAAAGTACATTTTAGGGTCATTTCAGGCGAGAATATCATACTTTAAGCTTCACTATATGGAACATTTACTGATTTAGGGTGTAATTAAAAAAAAAATTTTAATGTTTAGAGAACCGTAGCAACCATAGGAGCTCCGAGGCTAACCGCAGACAAGCAGCCAGGGCTAACGTTAGCCCGTCTGTAGTGGCCAGGGTTAACGTTAGCCCGTCTGCAGCGGCCAGGGCTAACGTTAGCCCGTCTGCAGCAGCCAGGGCTAACGTTAGCCCGTCTGTAGCAGCCAGGGCTAACGTTAGCCCGTCTGCAGCAGCCAGGGCTAACGTTAGCCCGTCTGCAGCGGCCAGGGTTAACGTTAGCCCGTCTGCAGCGGCCAGGGCTAACTTTAGCCCATCTGCAGCGGCCAGGGCTAACATTAGCCCGTCTGCAGCAGCCAGGGCTAACGTTAGCCCGTCTGCAGCAGCCAGGGCTAACATTAGCCCATCTTCAGCGGCCAGGGCTAACAATAGCCTGTCTGCAGCAGCCAGGGCTAACATTAGCCCATCTTCAGCGGCCAGGGCTAACATTAGCCTGTCTGCAGCAGCCCTCTGTCTGCATAGCCGTGTGTGAAGGACCGCTGGCTCTGATGACGAGTTTTTTGTTTTATTTGAAAAATGTTAATTTGATTTGTGTTTATCTGACTGTGTTCATTATTATTCCCCCAATAAATGTCATAATTTATTATTATCTAGAAACTATTAATAACAGGAGGTGAAATGCAGCTCCAGACTAGCTTTGAATGTGATGATGTCATCAGTACGCTTCTTCCAGTTCTCCCAGAGTCCAGACTTTCCTGGGTTCTAGTCAAGAACGGACTTCTTGAGAACACGAGTCCGTATTCACGTTCTAGTGAGTTGAGAATCGGCCGACCTTTCTTCAGGGAACAGGAGGAAATCCATGTCACGTGTCTTAAGAAAAGTTTTTTAGGTATAATAATGATGAAGTCAACCAAAGAAGTAAAACCCAACCGATGCAAACAATGAACACGCTGCTGAAGTGACCCAGCGTCCTGCTGACTGTGCTTGAAACACATTTGTCCGCTCTCTGCCGCTCCCTTGGCGTTTACCATCCAGGCGTCTCCAGAAATGACGGCTCATGTTGTGACGTTTTAATCTGCAGCGGCAGGATCGCTGTGAATCACTCACATCCCAGCATGAGGAACCAGAGAGGAGAGCAGGATCGCTCTGCTTTATTGTTAGATAGATTTAATCTGTGGCTGCTCACTATAACGAGTCAATCAGCTAAACATGAAGACAGAACAAAGTTATAATCTGACATGTCGACATTTCACACAGATTTTTATTTAAGGAAACTCTTTAAAAGTAGTTTAATGTCTGCAATTAGTCCAAATATTTTGATGTCTTAAGTTAGATAGTATTAGTTAAATAATAGATGACTTAAGGAAATCCAGGGTTGTCGATATTTGAACATTTCACTGTCATTGATAGCCTTCAAAATGAGGCTGACTTGAAGAATAGTGGCTCCATGCTTTTCTTGTTGAGTCTCAGGTCACCGGATTTACAGGCTGTTTTTATGGAAAGAAGTAGAAATCTTAGGAAGTTCCTTTGTGGGTCTTCCAAAAACGTTAAAATCAATCCACTGGACTTTGTTTTCAAGTTTGAAGACGTTTCTCTTCCATCCAGGAAGATCTTTCAGTCCAAAATGTCAGAAATAGCGTTTAGTTCCAGGTTTTATCCAGCAGCCCAACAAAGCCTGGTTTTAGTTTAGAAAACATGCAAATAGAAACGGATGAACGGGTCCCCCCCTTTGGAATGGGGGTCGTTTGGCTTCTTTGTTAGCCTGCAATGCCCCATACCTAACAAAGCTGAGCATAGCTAACAAAGCTGAGCATACCTAACAAAAGAAGCCAAATGACCCTCATTCCAAAGGGGGGGACCCGTTCTTCCGTTTCTATAATTTATTATTATATTATATTATATTATTGAAAACACTGATCATTTATTGAACAGGATGTAATAAATTCATACAGTAGTAGCCATTCAAAATTTCCCCACTTTCCATGGCTGTTCCTTGGCTAGTCCTTGGCTAGTCCTTGGCTAGTCCTTGGTTTGTCCTTGGCTAGTCCTTGGCTAGTCCTTGGCTGGTCCTTGGTTGGTCCTTGGCTAGTCCTTGGCTAGTCCTTGGCTGGTCCTTGGCTGGTCCTTGGCTATTCCTTGGTTGGTCCTTGGCTAGTACTTGGCTAGTCCTTGGCTAGTCCTTGGCTGGTCCTTGGCTAGTCCTTGGTTGGTCCTTGGCTAGTCCTTGGTTGGTCCTTGGCTAGTCCTTGGCTAGTCCTTGGTTGTTCCTTGGCTGTCCTTGGCTACTCCCCTAAAATTCCTTTTTGAAAATAACTCTTAATTGAAACCACTGATCATTTATTGAACAGGATGTAATAAATTCATACAGTAGTAGCCATTCAAAATTTCCCCACTTTCCATGGCTGTTCCTTGGCTAGTCCTTGGCTGTTCCTTGGCTAGTCCTTGGCTGGTCCTTGGCTGGTCCTTGGCTAGTCCTTGGCTAGTACTTGGCTGAGCCTTGGCTAGTCCTTGGTTGGTCCTTGGCTAGTCCTTGGCTGTTCCTTGGCTGGTCCTTGGCTAGTCCTTGGCTGGTCCTTGGCTGGTCCTTGGCTAGTCCTTGGCTGGTCCTTGGCTAGTCCTTGGCTGTTCCTTGGCTACTACCCTAAAATTCCTTTTTTAATATAACTCTTAATTGAAAACTCGGATCATTTATTGAACAGTATGCAATAATTTCATATTTAAAGTACTTTCAGAAGTCATAATTCTGAATAAAACCAGACTTTTCCTTTAATACATGCATCGGATGGAGAGTTTTATGTAGAACCCACCTTCACCTGCCGCTGACCTTTGAACTGTGTGACCTGTAGATCTCAGTGCTGGGCTACCTGGCCCACTTCATCCCGGTGAACCAGGTTACCACCCTGCGGGTACTGAGGACGTTCAGAGCCCTCCGTCCTCTCCGAGCCGTGTCCCGCTTCGCTGGTATCAGGGTAAGAACCAGCTGAACTCAGCCGCGGCTGACCAGGGCCGAGACCTGCTGAGGTTCTGTAGGGTTTTTAGAGAAGGTTGTTCCTGGCTGTGATTGGAGGAAATATTTCAGGAAGTTTGGATTCAGCTGTGGTGCCTGAATATCTACTGATGAAACAATCTGGTAAACCTCTAAAATTCACCGAAGCTCAGAGTTTTTTTCTTCTGATTTGGACCCAAAGAATCTATAAATGTAAAACATCATGTAGGTCAATAGTAGTTGGTGAAATATTTCCTCCTCTCTGAGGCCGAAGGTCTCAGACTCGTCCGTTCAAAGCTCTCAGTGAGCACAGACTCTAGATCTATCTGATCTATTTCCCACCTTCAGCTCTTCTTGGATGCCTGCAGTAACACCACATCCTTGTTTCACAGGTGGGAGCACTAACATGACATCATTCTCTCACCTCTTTTCTCTTCAGCAGGACGCTGCTGTCGCTGGTAATGAAACCCCTCCCTCTCAAAGTTCCTTAGAATAGACGTTAACCTTCCTCCTTCTCTTCTTTCCCCTTCCTCTTCCTCCTGCCTCTCTCTTTCCTGCTCCTCCTCCCTTCCCCTCTCGCTCCTCCAGGTTTCATTGGTCAGTTTGGTGGCCAACACGTTGGGTTATTCTGACCTGGCAGCCATCAAATCCCTGCGGACGCTGCGGGCCCTGCGGCCCCTCAGAGCCCTCTCCAGATTTGAAGGCATGAGGGTAAGAGTCAGTATTAATCAGAGCAAACACACCTGAGCACCTCTACGGTCTAAGACACCAGAAGTTAGACTAAGATCCTTAGAAACGTTTCCCTCAGTGGCCGTTTTAACCGTTTCATATCATTAACATTATTTACAGTAATAGCCTTTCAAAATTTCCCCTCTTTCCTTGGCTAGTCCTTGGCTAGTCCTTGGCTGGTCCTTGGCTGGTCCATGGCTGGTCCTTGGCTAGTCCATGGCTGGTCCTTGGCTGGTCCTTGGCTGGTCCATGGCTAGTCCTTGGCTGATCCTTGGCTAGTCCTTGGCTGGTCCTTGGCTGGTCCATGGCTAGTCCTTGGCTGGTCCTTGGCTAGTCCTTGGCTGGTCCTTGGCTGGTCCATGGCTGGTCCATGGCTAGTCCTTGGCTGGTCCTTGGCTGGTCCATGGCTGGTCCATGGCTAGTCCTTGGCTGGTCCTTGGCTGGTCCATGGCTGGTCCATGGCTAGTCCTTGGCTGGTCCTTGGCTGGTCCATGGCTGGTCCATGGCTAGTCCTTGGCTGGTCCTTGGCTGGTCCATGGCTGGTCCATGGCTAGTCCTTGGCTGGTCCTTGGCTGGTCCATGGCTGGTCCATGGCTAGTCCTTGGCTGGTCCTTGGCTGGTCCATGGCTGGTCCATGGCTAGTCCTTGGCTGGTCCTTGGCTGGTCCTTGGCTGGTCCATGGCTGGTCCATGGCTAGTCCTTGGCTGGTCCTTGGCTGGTCCATGGCTGGTCCATGGCTAGTCCTTGGCTGGTCCATGGCTAGTCCTTGGCTGGTCCTTGGCTGGTCCATGGCTGGTCCATGGCTAGTCCTTGGCTGGTCCATGGCTAGTCCTTGGCTGGTCCATGGCTGGTCCTTGGCTGGTCCATGGCTAGTCCATGGCTGGTCCATGGCTAGTCCTTGGCTAGTCCTTGGCTGGTCCTTGGCTGGTCCATGGCTAGTCCTTGGCTGGTCCATGGCTGGTCCTTGGCTGGTCCATGGCTAGTCCATGGCTGGTCCATGGCTAGTCCTTGGCTAGTCCTTGGCTGGTCCTTGGCTGGTCCATGGCTAGTCCTTGGCTGGTCCATGGCTAGTCCTTGGCTAGTCCTTGGCTGGTCCTTGGCTGGTCCATGGCTAGTCCATGGCTGGTCCATGGCTAGTCCTTGGCTAGTCCTTGGCTGGTCCTTGGCTGGTCCATGGCTAGTCCTTGGCTGGTCCTTGGCTGGTCCATGGCTGGTCCATGGTTAGTCCTTGGCTGGTCCTTGGCTGGTCCATGAGTAGACCAGTGGCTGGAAGTTGGAAGGGATTTAGCTGCTATTCGACTGGCTATTGACCAGGAAGGGCCGTTTTGAATGGCTGCTACTGTGAACCTCTGGTTGGTTGACTGGATGAAGAAGCTGCTTTGTGACAGGAACAGACATCCACCTTTAGAGCAGCCATTAGACGATTATCCTCCTATCCTCTGATGAATGATGAATAATCTGATGAATAATCTGAGCCCATATTATAAATAGATCAAGTCCAAGTCACTGATGTTCTGGGCCCAGAGGAATCAGTGGTGCTCAGGTGTGTTGGAAATGTCTTTCTTTTTTAATCTGGTCACCTTCTCCTGAACACCTCCAACCTTCCTTCCCATCTTCTCGTGTCCAGATGTTCTTCATTTATTCACATGTCTCACTCTAACCTGAACGTTTCTTCTGAAAACCCAGAAACTTCCGGCTGTTTTATTCTCTCTGTGTTTTTCCGTCAGTATTACTGAAACCTGGAAGAAGATGTAAATAATCTGAACCAGCAGCTGCTCATCAGTTCAGCTTAAATTAGAGAACAAACTCAGTTTATTTGGAGACATCAGCATCGATCTAATCTGGTGTCGAATTTAACCTTTTAAAGATAAAGGAGCCGTTTGGTTCTGGAATCTCTCTGTGTTTTTATTTCCATTAACAGAGAAATAAATTAATTCTATTTAACGTTGATTTTTCCCACTAGAGAAACAAAACTAATCAGATGTTTCAGGGAGTTCTGCACTGAGACACTGAGACAGGTGCATTATGGGTAGAAATGATTGTTTTTAATTAATCTCTCTTTAATTGAGTGGTTTTGTTGCATATTTTCTGTCAGTCAGGATGTTTTTTTTATTATCTTAAACTGTTTCCTGGAATCTGATCAGATTAACTGGTTTAGTTTATTGATCTTCTGCTCCAGTTTAAGCTTAATCCTAAATCAGCTCCATCCTTTAGCAGCTCAGATGATCCTCGTCTCTTTTCTTCCTACTGTGAATCTAAAAGGTGAAGATTTTTAATCATTCGAAGTCCTCTGCTGTGACCCGCCTCCATGTCTTCCAACCTTCATTGTTCATTTCATGTCCTGCTTCTTCTCAGCATGAACCGCCAGTTTGATGGTCAGGTGGACAGTTGGTCACCACACCTACAGTACGTCACATGGAGTAAATATGGCAGCGTGTTGATCTACAGACCGCTGCGTCGGCCATGTTGGGTTCCTGTCACACCTTGCTGATTTAAGGCTGATTTATACTCAGAAACCAGGTCGTCTGTGTGTGTTGCAGTGAACCTAGATAAGCCCCGCCCCTTCCGCAGACACTCTGCTGCTCCTCTCCAAAATTATAGGTGACTGCAGACAGGAGGCCTCTGATTGGTCAAATCTGCTCTACATTATGCGTATTTCCTGTTTGGTTCCTTACCGGCTTTTTTTGTTTGTCTGACCGCCATGGTGGAAGACTAGCCTGACGTAGTCCGACTCAATTCTAGTCAGAATGAGTCTGATTCTGCTCCATAGAGCTGTGATTATGGGGCGTGTTTCCAACGAACCAGGAAAAAAAATGCCTCTGCACTCAATTGGATAGACCTACAACCAATAAGAGCAACGGAGTGCGGGACGTATGTTAAGCGACGCATAGTTGTTGTCAACAAAAATCAAAGCGTGCAGTTGCACGCCTAGAATAAGAAGATGAGCCTTGATCGCGTTTCTCTGTTCCTCTTTTAAAATTAATTTGCTGTCGATATCTTCTAGAACAGACCTAATAGCAGAATCTACTCACCTCAACTCTCCAGCGGCAGCCATTGTTGTTGTCACCCAAGCGCGCTTTGGTCACATGGTTGATTATGTTACTGTTGATCATCTGTCCATCATCGTATAAAGCCCGCCCTGACAATTTGATTGGCCCGCCAGATATTGTGTGAGCATACTCGCGCTACTACTGACCAATGCCAGACCGAACTTCCCGACCTCAAACGTTGTGGGCGGGACTAAGTTCGGAATGGCACCCAGGCTAGTGGAAAACGGCTGGTGAAGATGGAGCAGCTAGCATAGCGAGGTGTGCGATAATGCTGGGACCCTTTTTTCACCTGATCCCCGCTCTTTTTGACCCTCATGTCCCTCCATTGTCGCACAAACTTGCCCCCACTTCCTCGCCGCCTCGGCCGTATCTAGACCCACAGCTAGTTCCGGATTGGCCCTCTGGCGTTTTGGCGTGGAATAACATAGCGCAGACCAAGCTTCAATATTGGGCATAAACCAAAAATATCTGCGACACGCTGCTGGGGGACGATAACCAGAAGGCTTGGACTGGTAATCTGTCCCTAACCCTAACTGACTATGTTTTTACTCCCACGGTAATGCGGAACAAAGAGTTTTTCTTTTCCACTAAATATGGGTAAGCTACTTATATTTCTAAATACGGACGATTCCGTTTTTCAAGCGACTGAATTTCAAAATTTAAAACATGTTTGATTTTCTCCCCATCTTACGATTCTAAAAGCAGTGATGAGATTAACAGATTAGGATAAATCAGTCCTGATAAATCCAGGTTCTAGTTAGAAATGAATCTTTTCTGATCATCCAGTGACTGATCTGAGGACGCCTGACTCCACCTGACCATCAAACCCTGTGCGTTCTCCTAAGCCGCAGGCCGAGCCAGGCGGTAATCGGTGCGTTTTGTGTTCAGGTGGTGGTGAACGCTCTGATCGGCGCCATCCCCTCCATCATGAACGTGCTGCTGGTCTGCCTCATCTTCTGGCTCATCTTCAGCATCATGGGCGTCAACCTGTTTGCCGGAAAGTTCGGCCGCTGCGTCAACCGCACCGGCTACATCTACGAGGCCTCCCTCATCAACAACAAGTCCGAGTGCGAGGCCTCCAACGACACCTCGCAGCACTACTGGACCAAAGTCAAGGTCAACTTTGACAACGTCGGCGCCGGATACCTGGCTCTGCTGCAAGTGGTAAGCCTCGGCCTTCCTTTAAACCGCCGCCATGACGGGTTTTCATGATGCGTTTGATTCTCTGGTCTATTTCAGCCCGACTGTCGGTGTTTTTACCCGATTTAAAACATGTTTATCAGAACCAAGCAGCTAGACGAGCTAAAGGCTCAGAAGGAAAAATAGTTCTGCAACAGAAAGTCTTTGATTTGGTTTAAATGTTTAGACATTTATGAAGCAAGTATTTTTCCACTTTATAAACATTTATAAACTTAAAATAACATAAAATCCATAAACAAACTGCTGCTTTCCAAGCTAAAATAAGCTCCAGTGCCTTTTCTGAGCTGTAGTTTTTTCCAGCCTCAGGGCTTATATTAAAACAAAATCATCTCCAAAGCTCCATTGTTAGCCATTAGCAGCTAACTGCTAGCATTGATCCTCTCTGTGTCGCAGGTCGGTAACACGGCTCCCCTTCATATAACCTCGCCACGTCTAGCCTTGTTTCTAACTTTATCTCATTTGCTGCAAAGCCACTGAAAAAAAAGTTAACTGATTTTTACATTTTATTTCAGTTTGATATGGGAAAAAAGTCAGAATTCTGACTTTAATTTCAGAATTCTGACTTTTTTTATTGTCAGAATTCTGACAATAAAAATTTTGACTTTTTTCCCATGTTAAACTGAAATAAAATTTAAAAATCTGTTAACTTTTTTTTTTCCAGTGGCCCTAATCCTCTTCCATACCAAACAGCTCATATGATTTTAACCAATAACAGCAGGACTCAATAAAATCAGAATTCTGATCGAATTCTGACAATAAAGAAAGACAGAATTTGGAGAAAAAAGTCAGAATTCTGACTTTTTTCCCATATTAAACTGAAATAAAATTAAAACATCTGTTAACTTTTATTTTTTTTCCAGTGGCCCTAATCCTCTTCCGTACCAAACAGCTCACATGGTTTTAACCAATAACAGCAGGACTCTAGGAGGCGTAATATCGCTCTACTCGCTGCGTCATTGGCTGTCAGGCATGGAGTGTTTGTTAGACTTCAGCGGCTGTCCCTGACTCTAATCGAGTCAGAAAAAAAACACTTTTGTCCTGTAGGTTAGAAGACGATGTAAATAAAACGTACCAAATATCGCAGACTAACAACCGAGGAAATAAGTATTAGGAAGTAAATATTAGCAAGATGCTAAGCATTAGCTATGACCAGCTAACTTTTCTCATGTCAAAAAAACCCTGATGTTATGTGACGATTTGTTCATCATGGAATATTTTTATTACGAATTACTGGATTACTTTTAATCTCTGAACCCTTATGAAAGGATGGAATATAAACAATTCCAGATTGGTTTTTTATTCCAGACGCCTTCAAAGGTAGGTTGACGTATTTATGGCTTACCATGCTGCTATATCTGTGTTAATTGTGCTTTAATGCCCGCTGCATCCATAAAATGAACTTGGTGTTTGAATTATGGAGAATCTAAGTTTTCCAGCAATGTCTAACGTGTCCATAGTGGTCGACAAAGTGAAACTTAAGTTTTAAAGGAAAATTCCAGTCAGCAAGGATCAATCAGTCAATGGATCATCTTTACAAGCTAAATCAATGGGAACTACTAGACACATCTGCAATCAACAACAATTATTGAAGATTTCCAGAGGACTTCACCATTGAAATTCACCAGAGCTATAGTGAAACTGACAATGCAATGAATGATGCAACACTTTTACAGTTGCCTTTTGTATCTATGCTTCTTTTTCTACGTCTGCTTCTGTCTCCTTGAACCCCAGTGGGCCTCAGCAGATGGCCGCTCACACTGAGCCTGGTTCTGCTGGAGGTTTCTTCCTGTTCAAAGGGAGTTTTTCCTCTCCACTGTCGCTACAAGCATGCTTAGTGTGAGTTTTTGGCCCTTTTGGAACTTTAAATCAATCTGGATGATCTGGTGAACTGGAAAGTGACCTGAGATGACATGATGTGAATTGGAGCTATAGAAATAAACTGAATAGAATTGATCAGGATGTAATAATTTCATATTTAAAGTACTTTCAGACGTTTGAATTCTGAATATGAGCGACTTTTCCTTTAAGAAGCGGCCAAAGCAGCAGTTATCAATAATAAACTGCATATTATCAGTCGTAAGAAGAAAGTAGAGGAGGCTCAGCCTGACTGATAACGGCTAATAACGGTCATTTAAAGGTTGATCAGATCCAAAATGGGTGAAATAAACCAGGATTTATCTTTAACCCAATCAACTTTCTCCTGAAATAAAAGATCTTCTCATGTCAAACTAATTTGTAGAAAATAAGATCAGATCCAGGTAAAACCAGAGGAAACAGGGCGGCGTGGGAGTAATGGCGGCTGTAAGGGCGGTCTCTTGCCTCCTGCCCGCCACATGTGTTTAAAGGTCAGTTCCAGAGCAGCTGGAGGCCGCCTGCAGCCTCGCCGTCATTCAGAAGGTCACCTTTAAGTTAGAATAGGGAGAGACAGCAGCTCCCACACGGCCGTGGAGAAAGTCTGGGGCTCCTGATTCAGACTCCGGGTTCCGCAGAGAAAAACTCAACAGGAAGTGTCCGAACCTCTAAAGTTCAGCTTCGCTGCATTCAGCGTCCAGCCGCCCACCTGCTCCTGCAAGACCTGAGAGGGAAACGGGCTGTAGACGCGTCACAGCGGCGCTTCCTCCTGCTTCCTCATCATCTTTGCCTTCAGAGGGGGAAACTAACCCTGAAATCCCACGTCCTCCACGCCGCTATAGCTGTTAAATTCATAGTCAAATTAACGGATTTAATATGACAGATTAAAATAATCCCCATCAGCGTCCAGCATGTGTTCAGTTTTTGTTTTGGATTTTTGTAATAACTAGGATCAAACAAAACTGTTTTTATGATCTATGTAACTCATCATTTCTTTTGACTGGATTTGATTAAACTTTTAAGCCTCTCGGTATAAAATAAATATTTTGATTTAGATGAGAAATCTGCTTCCTGGTCTGTAGAAGTAATAATAGTTTGTATCCAATTATTTAATTTAATTTGGGGAATTTTTAAGAATTATTCTATAATTAGTAGCTACCAATCCATCGTTACAGTATTTTAATTTGAAAAACCGGATTTTCTCAACATTATTTTTCCTGTTTGATGTGATTTTAACTGCGGATCTTGACCTGGACGGAACGGAGCAAAAAAGAAGCTCTTTTTTAGATAGGAAGAATGTTATTTTATAGGGATGCACGATATTGCGATTTTGGCCGATATCCGATATCCGATATTTTAAAACTCATGTAGCCGATAACCGATATCGATACCGATGTTAAAGCTGGACAAAAATAAGTAGTCATTGAAAATAGCAGCTTTGTTATCCATTTCTGACACTTTGAAAAATAATATACTCAAATATATTTTCATATGCTGATATCAAATAGATTTTTAAAAACGCGGTATCGATCTATTTTACTTTCAAAATCTGGTGAAATTTCATGGTTCTGTTACAAACTCTCGTGATATTTTGCAAATTCTTGTGAGATTTTGTTAGTAAAATAGATTGATACCGCGTCAATATATCAACATATAAAAATATGGCAACATTTTGTGAATTTTCGGGGGATTTCGTAGCATAACGATGACATATAGCAATATTTCATTAGTAAAAGAGATTGATATGGTGTTTTTAAATGGCAATATATCAGCATATGAAGATATTGGGATATTTTAATGGATCAATATTTTTTCCCTCGTCTTTAGAAGTTTTTAAGTCTGTAAAAAATAAGTTTTTGAGGAAGAAGAAGAAGTAGTATTTTATTTTATTTTTTTTTAGACTTTAGAAACGCAGAAGCTGATCAAATATCGGGTTAAATACCGATGTCCGATATTCAGTTTTAAGGCCGATACCGATAGGGGGCCGATTATATCCTGCATCCCTATTATTTTACATATCTGAATTGTTCATTTTGACTTGGAAGAAATGTATTTGAGACATCTCGAATATATAGTCAGTCAAGTTATTAAATGTCAAAATGGCCTGCCATAGGTATCCTCCTTTAACAACAGTTTCTCTGACATTGCTGATGTGTTACCCTCATTCTACAGGAGGAGCAACCTCCACCCCAGTGTGGGGTTCATTTTGGAGACACTTTCTGATTATTTTCTATCAGTTTTTTTGTTTATTTAATGTTTTTTATGTTTTAATGACAGAGATAAGTTAGATCTCTTTATTTTCTCTTTAAAATGAACAAAATACCAACAGGATTCCTTCATATCCTCTTTTCCACCTCTTCTCTCCTCTTTTTTTCCGCCCACCTCAGGCGTCCTGAGAGCCTCCAATCAATCAGCCTCTAAAAAGCTTTTATTTTTAGAGACTTGAGTCGGTAGTGGAGGTATTGCTGTAAACTGGGGGGGATTAAATTACAGGTACAGTTAGAAAAAACAGGATCTAAGAATAAAAGAAAGACAGGAGGGCGGGGAAGTTTGTGGAAAGGAGAAACAGAATTCGTGAGGCTTAAAGATAAAAAAGGAAGGATCTAGAAATCAGAATGACTTCATTAAACAAATTGAAGCAGGAGAGACGGGATATTGAAGATCTTGAGCTGCTCTTCACAAACAGAGGAGGAGAACAAAGCAGGGCAAAGTGTGGATGAGCTGCCAGTAAATTAGACCTTAAGAGTTGTTCTGAAGCGGTTGCCTTGGTAACGTGTCTCTCAGCACATGGCATCACGTTGCTGTCGGACGGAGCGACGTCAGCGGGGGAAACCTGTCCATTAGCGTCCTGAGAGGTTTCAGGATGCAGCTTTTATGCGTATCGCTGCTTTTTTCAGCCATCTGCTCACTTTCCAGGAATTCAGAGAGCGATTAAAAAAAAAAAAATCTTTTTTGTATTTTAAGAAGTTTTATGGAAAAAAACTGCAATTCAATTCTACTCAATTTATTTCTATAGCTCCAACCAATCCAGTCAGATTGATTCAAAGTTTTCTATCTAAGGAAAACCAGCTGATTGCATCGACTCATTGACTCTTCAGCAATCCCTCACACTA